CACAAACAGCAAACTGACATGTTTTCAGCATTGTGTAGCATGGCAGCTTTTTTAACATGAAACTGCATGGTCAGGAAATTAATGAGTATGGGGAAAGACCAGGCTCTCCTCCCTCAGGAAGCAGATTTCATGCTTCCATAGACTTGAACTACAGACCTTTCCCAACCAATCTCCCCACTGACACTGAAGAACTGATCTGCTCATCTCAAGCTTAAGAGAATGTATTAAGTCCTATCTCACTTACTGGAAATATTCATACAACAGAATATTTGTTGCAGATGCATATGTGGATGGCAGGGTTTTTTCCATCTTCCATAAATTATAATGCAGTTTTCCTTTAGGACTGCAACCTGCTGGATGCTTGCTTGGATCTGATTCAAACTAGGATTTAGTAGCACCAGAGATTGATGTCACTGGGTTGGATCCTCAGCTGCTCCACTGAAGTTGTTAGAACTACACCAGTTTGTAGTAGCTGAAGATTTGGCTTGCCCAAGTTAACTGGGGTTCTGAAACCCACAGGCACACTACATCACTGACACCCACAGTACAATGTGGTGTTCTGTTCTGAATCTATTTCGCTTCTGGCCACAGCATCCTATTCTAACCAACCCAAAAGTTTTCTCATTGAATAGCAATGATACTGTGCATTTGGATAGTGCTTTCATCATATGATCCCTACACACTTTACAACAGAATTAGTGAAGCCTCACAACAACCCTGTGAGGTAGGTAGAAATTCCTATGCCCGTTTTACAGATGTAAAAACAGAGACACAGGGAGATTTAGTGATTTCTCACCGCAAGTCAGTAGCAGAGTTGGAAATATAGCTAGGACTTTTATCCATGGTCCAGTGCACTAGACACTGGAGAATACCAACTCCTTTGTGCTATTATAAGTCAAGACACTGCCTCCCTCTTCTATACCCCCTACTTTAGTGAACTTGACATTTGCAACCTATACTTCTTGCAAAAAACCATACAATTAGTCAGTAATTCCTTTGTAAGGAGAAGCAGAGGAGATTCCTAATCCCTTCCCCCTTAACTTAATTTTTACAAGTTTGCAAAGTAACTTGTCCACTGTCACTCAGTGAATTAATGGCAGAGGTGAGGGTAGAAATCAAGAGACCTGACTCCCAGCCACTTGTTCGGACTGCTAGGAACACTGTCTCTAATACACCATATATACTTGGAAATTACAATCTTTAAGAAATGCAATAGGGCAGTCTGAAGTTGGCTTGAGAAACCACACAAGCAGTTGGCTGGATGCCACAGGAAGAACAGTGTGGTTTATCATTGTACTATGGAAACTCATATGGAGAAAACTTAGTGGGGTAACATGGGCACCATGTCATGGCTGTCATGGCAGCCATGCCATGGGCTCACAATATGCCACAAATACACTTAACAGTGGATTTTGTCCATGCATTACAGCAAAAAGTGACATATTCCACACCTTGGATCCAAAAGCTGGATTGAGTTGACAGCCAGATTCTGGACTCTGGGATGCCTATAGACGTACTCGCTCCTGTTTTAATTACAACGCGTCAGAGCAGACTCAGTTAACTCAGTCTCCTCCACATTCTAATTAGAAAGCTCCAGCATCGCCTCATGGTCACATATATTAAGCCCCCACACATTTCAAAATGGCTATGGGGGTGCTTTAGCTAAACCTCATCAAATGACATTTAGATAAAGCATCCTGCAGCCATTCTGAAGTGTGCAGAGGCTTAATACACATGATGGTGAGCTGTTTTAATCAGAGTGGCTGTCTGGAAACTGCTCTAATTAAAACACCCCCTGCCCACCCCTGAGCACGTGTATATAAACAGCCTGGTATGTTGGTGTGAAACCCCCAATGATTTTGATAGTTGTGCTGTATGTACAGCAAAGACCAGAAATCAGCCCTAAAACATCTCCGATCAATAATAAGGTGGACAGTTATTTATATCCTTTCCAGTATAAAGCCATTGGAAGTATAAAATTAGACCTCATTAGGTCAGGCACCCAATCAGTCCGCTATTCTGATATCTGGCAGTGCCAGATGCCTTGGGGAAAGTTGAAAGAAACCCCATAATAAATACTTATTGACTTCCCTACCCACAGAGGAAGTGAGTTTCTTATTCCCTCCCAGTTAGTGGGTTCATTTATGTCAGGAAACAGGAAGTCTTACATCCCTGCTTTAATTAAAAAAAAGCATCAGGGCCTTTTGGATGGAACTGTGTATGTTCATACTATTCATGTGAAAGTCCAATCCCATTCTGAATTCTAGCAAGGTCTTGGCCCTAGTGGAGTCACATGGCAATGCTCCACTCAGCCAGAAAAAAAGTGTGCGCTCTGCTCAGTTTCCTGTTTGTTGCTTTTTATTTTCATTGAATGCTCTTTTGTTCATGAATCATGAAATCAGGTGAATGGGAGCATCCAAATGATTTTCATCATATCAGCCTTTACACTACTCCATCATATTCCCCCTCTAAATTAAGCTCTCTCAACCTTGATGATCTTGCCTCAGATGAAAATCTCTCCCTGCCTCTGATGATCTCTGTCAGGAGAACAAAGGTTGGAAGCTCAGGCTGAAATTTTGGGAAACACAATCCCGAGAGGAGCAAAATAATTAACATTTAAAAATACATGGCACTGTTAAAGCATTGAAGAATTCTGACACAACATACACACTTTCTAGAGACCTATAGTAACCACATCAACCATTAATAAAGTACAGCCACATCTGAGGTTGAATGCAGGAACCAGAGAACATGGCACAGGAATTCTACAAAAGAGTTTGGGACCGTGAGAAACAAAAACCATAGTATCCAACTAAAACTACTGGGGGGTTTAGTGCAGGAGAACAGAATACAGTTCACTGCATTGGAATTTAGCTAGGACATCAGACCTGAGAGCTCGATCCAAAGCCCGCTGGAGTGAATATAAAGGGCTCTCACTGACTTCAATGGCTTTTGAGTCAGGTTTTTACAGCCCTGATCCTATGAAAGATTCCATAGGGCCTTTTTTGGCCAGCGGCAGGCTGAATTCTATGTCTCATACTAAAGAATTTTTTTGAGCTGGATTATATCCCGCACGTGAAACAATGCAAATTGCCTACTGCAGAACAGAAAGAATTTGCTGAGCTGTTAGGGACTGAGGTCTGAAAAGCAGAATGGATGAAAGCGCATACCTGCACTTTTTTTGGCATCAGGCTCAGTCTTTTGGGGAAAGAGTGGTTAACTTCAAACTTGTGAACACGTCACGGTTCTGTCCCATCCGAGAGACACCATAGTGGCCCCCAAATTAGAAATCCACAGACATTCTAAGCATTAGCAAGTGTGGACTGAGAAAGCAGTTGCCTGCTTTCCCTTTTTTCCAAGGGTAAAAAACAGACTCCATTGGAGGTCTGTGGCATTTCTTTGGACCTGTTGGCACAGATATTTTTCTAATCCTGGCAGTGAACAGACATACTGATATTCCATTTTGAAAGAGTGGGGAACATACTGCTCAGAAGTGTAAATTAGCTGAACCAATGCAATTGTTTTGCCTTTCCACTCCTATACCAATATGAACAGGTTTAATGTTACGTTGGTTTAGCTCCATTTATACCTGTATAGGAGTGAGCGTATGAAACAGTTACATCAGTTGAATGTGACCTTTGATAAATTGGTACAATTTCAAACTGGTATTGCTGTTTAGTCTGTCCACAACCAGTGATTCTTTGAAAGGCCTTGTTTTCTTCATTAGTGGCAGCTGCACTCCGCAGCTAAACAGATTGTTGGAAACCTCCTGCAAAGCAAGTGTCATATCAGACAACCAACACAGCAGCATGTCTAAAGACTGTTGTTACATAATTAAACAAGAGGTCTGATTTTCAAAACGGCACCAAAATCAGGACCATCAGTTTTACTTTTGGGTGGTTAAACAATCACTTGGCCACCCAAACCCACATTTTAGGCTCCTAAATGCCTATTGATGCATCCAGGAGTCTGTCTCTGAGATTTGCTGAGTGCCCATAACCCTCTGGGAGTTGCAGGAACTAAGCACCTTTCAGGATCAAGCCACAAATGCAGGACTGGGTGTCTTACCTTTTGTGTCATGCTCTTTAAGCTGTGGTTGTTCATTTACTTTCAAAGGCCTTCACAGACCTCCTTTTCTGCATCAATTTCGAGACCTTGGGTCACAACACTAAACAACAAATACTGCTTTAATTTATTCTTTTCTCCTATTTGATACAGACTTCTGGCCAAACAACTCTGTTGGGAACAAATAACCCATTTGTAGGCCTCTATTAAATTCTAATAGGGAGCTAGCTTTAACCTTTCTAGCCACCAATGTCACTTAAAGAACACAAATGCTTGTAGGTGCTGCTAGAAAGATCTTTTTAAGTAGCCCAAACTTGCACTCACAAAGAAATGAGGGGCATTTTTGACCTCTCTTCCTTTTTGTGGGACAATATTCTGATATCTTAGTTTCATGATACTGAACCCAGGATCCATTTCTGAGAATTAAACAGGTACAATTATACGCCAGCAGTGAAGGGAAGGCCAAGGTCAGTAGGCCACTTGGTTAAACAAAATAAGGAACACAGAAAGAGAGCTGTGGATTGAGCTACTACAGTATTTAGCTAAAGAGACATACTCCCCACATCCTCGTGAAATGTGGGACACAACTCTCGGCAAGTATGCTGACAATGGAGACATTTTGCTTTTCCTGTTATTTGGGGTTTTAAAACGCTTCAGTGCCATGCATAGTAAAGCTACTGTGGATAGCAAGCTGGGACTTACATGACAAGTAGGACACAGTTACCATGACAGCACCTTTCCAATTGAGACTCTCAACAGGAAATAATTTTCAAGTGACCATTTTAGGACTTTGCTTAAAAACATTCAAGGACTTGGTGATTTCTTTCTTTTTTGCTTTGTTTCGGGGAGGGATTTTTTTTTTTTGTTTTGTTTTTTTGTTTTTTTGGTTGTTTTTTTTCTTGTTTTTTGGGAGTTGTTTCGCACAGCCCACACCCTCATACAGTCAAATCATCTGACCTGGCCCGGCTGCTGGCTTTACTAAGCCTGCTGAGGGGTCTCATATCAGCTGTCAATTCAGCAGGTGCTGATGGCTCCTGCTCTTCCAACCCCTTCACCTCTCCCTGCCCATCTCTTTTCAGCATCTCTTGTTCCTCTTCTTGCTCACCTCCTGCTTCCCTGCTGTCTTCCTGCTCTTTTGTTTGGGCATAGGATGGTAACCGCTCATCAAAGGCCCTGGATAGTTCTTCTAGAGGCCCCATACCAATCTTCTCGTCAAAGTCATTGAAGGAGGATGGAAGGTGGCTAGCTTCAACCCCCACTTCGGTTAGGGGGAAATAGTGGGACACTGGCTTTTCCTCCTCCAGCAACTTGTAGCCCTTGACCTTCTGAATGGAAGTCACTGCGAGGGAATGTAGGGGTTTGTCTGAGATCTCCCCCAGCGGTGGCTCCGCCGGCTTCCAGAAAGCCAGCTGCATCCTTTTCATGAGCAAATGACTGATCTCCACGAGGTTGAGGAAGAGAGATAATGAGGCCACCGCCAGCATGAACATAATGAAGACTGTCTTCTCAGTGGGTCTGGATACAAAGCAGTCCACAAGGTTGGGACAGGGCCACCGGCCACAGCGGTAGAGGGGCAGAATTCGGAACCCATACAGGTAGTACTGGCCTACAATGAACCCAACCTCAAAGAGGGTTTTGAAAATGATGTGGCAGACATACGTTCTCAATAATGTTCCTTCCAGTGGGAACTTCTTGCCCCCCCTCATTTGGATTGGAGCTAAGTTTAGCCCCTCATTCTCCATCTCACCTAGCCGACGTCTCTCAGCTTCCTCCCTCTCTTTCTTCTTCTCCTTCATTCGTGCATGATGCACAGCGTGCCCAAAGTACACAAGTGAAGGTGTGGAGACAAAGATGATCTGAAGGACCCAGAGACGGATGTGGGAAATGGGGAAGGCTTCATCATAACAGACATTCTCACAACCAGGCTGTTGGGTGTTGCACACAAAGTCTGACTGTTCATCTCCCCAGACTAATTCGGCGGCTGTTCCCAGGATCAGGATTCGAAAGATGAAGAGCACTGTGAGCCAAACCCTCCCAATGACGGTGGATTGCTCATTCACCTGTTCTAAAATGTTCCCCAAGAAGCTCCAGTCACCCATCTCCTCCTGTCTAAGGGAAGAGAAAGTAAAGAGAATGACCATAAATTTTATTAAATCAAAATCAATTGGGGGATTTACCTCCTGAGATCTAATGTGCTGATGATACCTTTAAATTACATGTATTTCCCCAGTATAGCCTGTTTCAAGAAAATATTTTTTTGCCATTCATTAGATGGGGTGGACTGAGAAGCCAGGGAAATCTCCCCACTATACTTTTTCTTCCTTGGCTTTAAATGCTCAATAACTTCTCAGGTAGGGTGTATATTTGACCCTAGCTGAGAATACATTTCTGTTGGTCTTTGCATGATCAATTGTATGTACATGAATACTATTTAATTCTGTATATAAATACGTGATAGTAGTGAGATATAAAGGCTTGATCAGCCTGGGATTTGGGAAGACTTCACTTTTTGCTAATGGTAAGAGTACAAGGGAATCAAACAGGTCCTCTCACATTGGTGTCCCTATCATTTTAAGTTATATGCATCTTGAATTCTGTACAGACTATACCAGTAACATCAAATATATTTAGACATCTATGAGATTCCTTTTTAAAATTGTACTGGGACAATTTTTTGCATCCTTCTAAAAGCTTCAATCACCCTGGTTTAAGTTCAGAGCCATAAAAGTGAGTCAAGGCAATATATTTCTATGTAAAAAAAAGTCACAGCTTGACTCAGGTTCCTCCAGTCAGTGCTGTGTACACTTGCTGGGAAGCCAGAATATCCCTTTTTCAGTGCTTCCATTTCTCGCCCTGCAGGCATGAATTTTAAAGCTGTGACATAGTCACATATGAATCCAGCTCAGCTTAGGCTTCTTACAAAAAAATCCCAGGGAGCTTGATTAATTGAAGATTGTGAGTTAGGCAGTAGAAGATGCCTCAGAAGTTTATTGATCCCATTTATCACATGGATACCATCTCCACACTAGTGAACAGACTCGGGGGAGGCAGGAATATAGATAGCTTAGACTCCTCTGTACTCCAGGAATTTCACGAATTTTAAATGAAGTACATTGCCATAACAGTTTGGAGTCGCTACCCTGGTCATTGTACTACATGGACATTTTAGTCTACATCTTTATGCTAAAAACTAGGCAATGTGATATAGCTCTCCAGTTAACACACACACCCTCACATCCCATGTCGCAGATAGGTAAACTGCAGGGTCAGGTCACAGACAATAAAAACATCATAGCAATGTGCTACTTTTCTAGCCATTATAGTTATATAGAGAAGCGTGCAAGGGCTCAAACGTTAACAAATGAAATGGAAGTTTGGCTAAACTTATTTAAATACTCATTTTTGAGAAATTCGCATATATTTACTGATTAGCAAACCAAATAGTTACCCATCACAGGCAACACGATAAAAATAACTATCTTATACACATAGTGTAGTGAACATAATCCCTGCAATTCTGTGTAATTATCTAATAGTGATGCCCTTTAACCACATCAACTTCAGCTGGGACAAGTGACACCTTTACACGTGATAAATCTTCTTATTTTATAAGCAGCTCAGTGTAACAGAGAAAGAAAAACGGTTTCTGTCTAATTTCTTCTATAATCTTACTTGCAACCTGTAACATGGATAAACCTACTCAGGAACTTCTCTGAACTAGTCAGAGAGAAGTCTGCTTTGACCATCTCCTACTTAAAGTGGCTTTGGAAAAGAACTGGTTCTTATGATATATTATTTGCTCTTCTGAGCACAGACCTCCAGTCATCCATAAAAATTTGACTGTGCAAAGGATGAGAAAAATATATTGCAAGGAACAATCCTGCATTGGCAGGAGGTGAACAATAGCACCAAATCTAACTTGTAGTATTCTACCAATGACTCACCAAGTCCTCAACACCCAATAGGCTCCAGTGCAGGGGTTGGCAACGTTTTTGGACAGAGTGCTGAAAACATCCACAGCCTCGATCTGTAAGATGTTGGCATGTCAGGGGCAGACAGTGGGGGAGCTACAAGGAGCCCAATCCTTATGGCAGCACAGCCCCAGCCCCTTCCTCACCATCTGTCCTGAGGTGCACATACCAAGCAAAATGCTTTTGTATGCCACACTCTGGCACCCATGCCAGGGGTTGCCTACCCCTGCTCCAGTGCATTAAATTTGGACTGTGAGCTTTTAAAGTCAATAATCCTAGGATGGGATTTTCAGAAGTGTCTGAGGGAAGGAGGTGCACAAGTCTGTTTGAAAATCCATGGTGCTCCTCCCTCACTTAGTTCCCTTTGAAAATCTCACCCTTACATTCCAAATGTCATGATCTGATAAAGATTAAAGTAAAAAAGAAAGCATATATAGATGAAAGGCCATTGAGCAAACAACTTGCCACAGTGAAAGGCTCCACCGAAGAAATGTATCCGCCTTCTCTCTTGGCACTCTGCAGTGAAGAGTGAACTTTTGTCTCTCTTCTTCCCTACCCTAAAAGTCCCAACCTTGTCGCACGACTGAGCAGATATGACTGGATTGGCTCTGATAGGTGGATTTTAGTTGCCCTGCAATATTTAAGCTCTGAGCCAGACGGCTTTATGGAGTGAGTGACATTTAGTGACATGGAAGACAATAGGGGAAAAACGGGGAGAGAGACAGAGAGGATGCATTGATCATGAAAGGGGAGGGAGCAAGGGGTAGGCAACAGGCAGTGAAATTTAGCATGTGCATAAGAGAGGTTTGCACAGTTAAGCAAGGGGAAAAGCATCCCCACTGGTCTGCTCTTTGTACAGGTATGCATCCACTTTTGTACACTATTCTGTTTAAATGTCATGGGACCACTGGTGAAGAAGTACCACCCTTCTTGTGATGGCATATCTGATTAAATGAAAATGACCTTTCTGACTTCACTACCATGTACCCAGCTTTGGCAGCTCACTTCCAACACAAATGCCTAGAGCAAGGGTGGGCAAAATACAGCCCACCGGCTGGATCTAGCTCACTATCTGATTAGATCTGGCCCACGGAGGGCTCCCGCCAATTGATTGGATCCAGCCTGTGGCTGCCCCCGTGGCGCTTCTCATGGGTTTCCAGGCAGGGCTCCTCCCTGTGCAGCTCCCCCTGCCTCCAGCAGCTCCTTCTCCTCCTCCTGGCCCTGCTGTGCTGCTCTGAGTAGGGGTGCAAACTGCAGCTAGGTAGCTCCTGCCCCAATACACGAGCTCCCAGCCACCTTCTACCCTTTCCGCCCGCCCGCCTAGCATGATGAGCATCCTTCTGCATATGGCTACCTGGCTGCAGCAACTCCCCCTCCCACCCAAAGCAGCACAGCACAAGCAGAAGAAGGAGAAGGAGCTGTTGGAGGTGGGGGGAGATGAGCAGGACCCAGGTGACTGCAGCCGCACCAGGAGCAGTCTCACTGGGCAGCTGTGCATGCTGGCCAGAGCTGGGGCTGGAGGGCACAGGTGGGAGTGTGGCGCTGGCTGAACCAGGCAGGGCTCAGCCCTATGTGGAGTGCCACGGGGGCAGCAGTGGACCGCACTGCCTAGGCAAACTCTGCTGCATATAATTCCTGCTCCCCATCCCTTCCCCCACCCCCAGGCAACTCCCAGGACCTAGCAAACAGGCAGCTCCCTATACACACATGCACCCCCCAACAC